TTTCGATCATAAACGGAGAAAAAGGAAAAGGGGGTAGCAAAGAGTTGAACGAAGGGGAAGATGACAAAAGGGGACAAAACGAAGATTGCAACCGAGGCGAACATGTCGCTACGCAGTAGTTCTCTTCGTTTCGACGAATTCCATCGACGTTGCTCTTCCGCTTCTTGCTCGCCGCGATCGCGATCGTTTCCACGTTCCGAGAACGGGAGGATGTGTGAGCGGAGCCGTTTTTCGCTTCCGGACAAACTAGTTTAGCGACGTTCGACGAGCCGCCAGCAGCTTCTTCCTAGCTCGGCGGATTTTCTAGTTTTTCTGTCGCGATGTTGGCTGAAGCGATCGAAGCGAGTCGCTGCGAATGTCGAAGTTGTGTGTGTCCGCTCCGATACCCGGCGAAAAAAATCGACCAACGTGCTCGAGGACTTTTCTCGGTCCACCACCACCAACGCGTAAAACCAAACACGATCCCGCGCGTTCGCTCGGCCTTTCTCGTCGTCTCGTTCGCTCGAGAAGGCAGCATCGCGTAAAGCAGGACGCGTTTCATGCGTCTCTCTCTCTCTCTCTCTCTCTCTCTCCTCTCCTTTTTACACGCACCGCATACGATATTTACCATAGTGATTAATTTTATTGAACTTTTATTAAACTGATCGTAAGTATCATCCGTTGTATCAATAAAACTTAATGACGGTACCATACTACCGCGGGATAAGCGTGAGATGATTATTTGTATACTGTATGCTAATTTTTTTTTTTTTTTTATTAAATGTATATTTACAGTATAAATATGTTGTGACTCCAGCATACGTTTCATTCCAGATTGCTTTCACGTTTTATACTCGTGAATCGTTATATCTCGTTGCACGAATGAAGTTTCATTTATGTGAAGTTGTTTCGCACATGATGCAGCGACGTCGCAGAAACATTTCGTATATTTCCATGTTGCTCAGTTTGGAATGAATGGATACCGTGTCAGGATAAAAATTTCAAAATTACGGTAGAATTTTCATTTGCAGAGAATTTTATTAACAAAAATTTAAATTGACGATTCCTTGATTTATTCCGTGCTACACATACATATCTATCTTGTAGATACGTATGTATCTCAAAGTTGTAACACCATCTCATTATCACTGTGCATAAAAAAGTTCTCCGATAAGTGTTCCGATATACACATACACGCGTATTTATTTTTTTAAAAAAACTAAACTAAAGATATAATATTTTGCTCCTTAAACTTTCTTCTGGCCATCATTATACATACAAGAAGAATTCTCCCGTGATAAGTCTTCGAAATATAAACGAAACTAAAGATATGTCGTTGAGCTTGTATCTTTCACTTTCCCCTCTGACCATCGTTGTAATAATACATGGAAAAAGTTCACCGACATATTTTCATATTCGCCACTGTACACAGAGACATGTATTACATCTACGCACCTGTCTTTTCCAACTTTTCAAAGTAACTTGTCAAACTGAACTTGAGCCTAAACTAAAAGACACAAACTCGTATGTTTTACTCTTCAAACTTTCCTCTGGCCTGTTTCATCGCCGCGCATAAAAAGTCTCTCCTCTCATGATAGGTGTTCTATAATACATTCATAAGCTATATACTACACACACGTATGTGACACGTGTACATCTATCTCCGTTGCTTTCTAAGCTCTCACTCCTCTTCGTCTTCGTCTTATTGTTTTTCAGCCGGTTTGCCGACGCGGCGAAACGATTCCGCAAAGGTAGCTCCGGCACCGCGGTTCGTCGTACTTCTCGCGTTTCCACGTATATACTCGGGGCACGCGTTTGCCTGTGTCGCGCGTGCCTGCCACGTACACACATACACACACAAGCACCGTGGAAGCAGCGTCCGTGCAACCGCGTACGTGCGCTTATAAGTAGATACGTGTGGGACGAACGGGGCCCCAGTTAGCATAACCTGATCTCGAAGGCCTCTTGGGTATCCTCCCTTCACTCTCCGACTTTTCTTTTTCTCTTTCTCCTTCTTGTCCCTTCCTGCGCGGGCTGAAACCACCTCACTCCTCCAGGGGGGACGCGTTTCATTCTCTTTCTCTGCATTTTCTTCCTTTTATCGTACTATCGTCGGGCCTCACCTATCGATTTGTCGACAGAACTACTCGCTTCACGTGAATCTGAACGAAACGCGAAGTCGGTCTCGTGTATACGAATATAATGGCAAAAATATTTACCACTTGTCGTACTACAGATATGTACATACTTTTTATATATATGTACTATACTTTGGTATGCACGAAACAGAGGAGTTTCCGTCGTTTCGAAAGTGTAATTAATAAATCACTGTGTTCGCGGTTTCAGGTATGTTAGAGTTTCGAAAGGGGTGAGGACTTTCTTATTATGCCATATTATTATTACAAAATGGCAGTGTTACAGAAGTTTCGAATCTAAATGTGGTGTAATATAGCATAATATTGTATATATTATTATTATAAAATATTATTATTAAATAATAATATTATTACATTATTATATTATATTATATAATTTATATTTCTAATATTTATAATTTATATTTATATAATATAATATTATAATATTATTATTAAATAATATTATATTACATTATATCATATTATACTATACATTATATTATATGTATTATATTACATTATCTAGGTTCACATTTTATTCATATTATTCATTATTCATATTACATTATTAGGTTTTTATTTTATTCATATTATTTATTATTCATATTACATATTAGCCTAATATTAGGTTCACATTTTATTCATATTATTCATTATTCATATTACATTATTTAGGTTCGAAACTTCTATTGTTCTTATTTCTCGAGGAAAAGATCTATTCCACTTAAAAGAAGAACGAAGGCTGCTCCAAACTTTTGAATGAAAGTATCTCTTTCCTACATACTACTTCATCATTATCGAGATCGAGCATGCACACGTTACAACGATCGTGGAATGAGGCAACAGAAAAGTTTTTCCACGTAACGTAACGTAACGTAGGAGGATGCTCGAGGACTCTGGCGAAGTTACGCGTATTCGCGACCTCGCACGATGACAGAGAGAGGAAAAACGACGCTACGCAACTGGCTGTTGGAAGACGCGATAACAAAGCTCGAGAGATCTGTCAAGGATCGACGAATCGAGTGAAGAGACAAAAAGAGAGAGAGAGAGAGAGAGAGAAGAGTATGAAGCGAGGTGAAAGAATGGACAACGACGACGAATCGAAACGAGTGGAGCCGGGAGCAGCGGCGAGGATACGCGCGCGTGGCGACGCGTGCCACGTTCGTCGCCTACGCTCTCAGCGTGGTCGTAGTCGAAACCGAACCGCGCGGCCCTCGAATCGTTGATTAGATAGACAAATACGTCGGGAAATCGTTTTGACGAAACTTTCAACGTCCCTCGCGATCCGACGTTTTCCCTTCTTCGCTTTCTCGATGCGGACGACGAAGACACCTCGTGGCCACGCGACGCGTTTGCACGCCCACGCGCGATCGATTTCATCGATTCGCAGCCTCTTGCGCAAACGTCTTCTGCTCGCGGTTTTCCAAGAAATCCGCAAGCTTGCCATTCATTTCCCGTTTATCTGAGATTCCGTTCATCTAATCTGATCGGTGAAATTATTCTTGATATTCGAGGAATTCGCAGGAATCCTCAGTTCGGTGCGGACCAATTGCTTTCTTACTTAGCCCTCGCAAAATTCACTTCAAACTGTGGATGTTTGCGGGGAAATGTTGTGGAGACGCAAACATACACGCCACATATGTATTCAAATTATAATTGTAATATAAAAAAAAATACGTAAAATATCTAAATTTTAACTGTGATGTGCAAAAATGTGTAAAACATTCGAATTTTAATTGCAATATAAAAAAAAATGTAAAACATTGAAATTTCAATTGCAATACGGGAAAATATGTAAAATATTCGAATTTTAATTATGATGGGGGGAAAAAATATATATATAAAATATTCAAATTGTACCTACACACATTACACTAGATACGTGTTTGAACTTTTTCAGAAGTCATACTGAGAAGCAGCGAGAAACGGGTCTAATTTTAAAAATTTACTTTAAGATATATTATATACTCACATCGATATGAAACGAATTTATGAAAGCAAGTCATTCGTGTTTGGGGATTTCCTGAGCCTGTATTTACGTAACAAAATCAAGATACATGTTAATGAAAGAAGCGAAGTTGATCGGTTCGCTTAAACAAATGCTTCGCTGCTTGCTGTTTTTATTTCTTCAAATACTGTGAAAGTAAACACTGCGTTTCTTTAGAAAAAAAAACCCGGTCGCAAAAATGCGAATTACAACGGTGGTTCTTCACCGCCAGTCCATTATCAATATCATTATCATTACGAAAAAGGAACTTAACAGCGCTGCGCAATACATTCCTTTCTGCTCGATAACGCGTGTGAAGAAAGTTGCCCGTCCGTATCGAGTCTCAAGATATATTCGCCAGTTTTCCCTGGTTGCTAATCGTCCGAGATAAGAGGGAGATCTCTCTCTCTCTCTCTCTCTCTCTTTCGTGAAAGTGTGAGTTTTGCTCGACTTCGCGCTTCTCGACGTGCGAGAAGTCACGTGCACCGCGCATCTTATCGCACAATCTATTCGACAATCTTCGAAGAGAGAACGCGACGATACGATTCTTACCTTCGTAGGAGATGTGTCGAAAGTCGATGGCGGCGTTTAGGCTCGCGACCAGCGTCCCTAGGATCGCCAGTTGCACCGGCCATCGATCCATCGCGATCGTTCTTCGTTCCTCCCTTTCCCCTCTATCGAGTGTCTTTTCACCTGGAATGCCAGAAATATCGAAATGATGCACGAATCTCTCCATTATTGATTCGTTTGGACGAATCAACGGGTACAAATATCTTCTTAATAGTGGCAGAAAATAGACAGTTCAGAAGTTATCCAGTCTCGAATTATTGACCTGTTTAAATTTAATTTTTTTTATATTTTTTACGATGCATGGTCCGACTTTATTTCATTTTATTTTCTTGACTTTCATTATCGGTTAAAATACGAA